GCACCTGCCCTATAGCGAAAACCTCTCAAAAAAAAAAAAAAATCTACTGTCAATGTGGATGAGAACCAATGGATGATTTTCAAATAAAGTCATAAAATAAAAAAAAAAAGAACAAAAACCCTCTAAAAAAAAAAAAAGAAAAGGTACGTGCAATCTCACCACATGTATGTCCAAGAAAGGTCATGTGAGCACATTGCAAGCCGCTGAAAGGGTCTTAAGGACCTATACTGGCACCCTGCTCTCAGACTGTTCACCTCCAGAACTGAGAAAATTCATTTCTCTCAAGCCACCCAGTCTATGGCATTTTGTTACAGCAGCACCAGCAGACTAAGATACCTATGAAGATTTCAGAGCCCCTGAAGACACTACTTTCATACATGTCTGATTTCCTCTACCTCCATGTGAGCTCCAGAGCGGGAGGGGGGGCCTGGGAGGTTTCTCTGTGTATGCCCTCCCCCAACACGCTTCCCTGAAGCCTACTGAGTACACCACAAATATTTGTTGAATGAGATCAAATGGATTCACATGTCTCTTCTGCTGTGAGTCCTCCTCCAATCTAGCTATAAATTATGTGACCTTAACCGTGTTTCATTCTAATAAAGGCACGACTCTCTGGTGTGAATTGATGAAATAAAAGCAGAGGATGGCCTAAAAGCTTTCTGCAACCCTCCACACAATCCGAGGCGTTTACCTCTCAGTGACGCCTGCACGTTGGGGCTTCCACCAGTATGCTAAGAGCTTCAGTCATCTCGGATCTAAGTAGAAGGATTGCTGAGGGCTGAGCACCTGGATTAGATTTTCTCCTGAAATGAACCATTTACACAGCTAGCAGCCCTAAAACAGAACTGTTTGCTTCTATCTCAGCATTACGTGTGTAGCACTTCTAACAGCAAGGAAGCCTGCCTCCTTTCCATTCCAAATCAGGTAACTAAGAGAATACCTTTTCCTTGGTAGGGAAAAAAAAAAAGATTTGTTTTTGTGTGTGTGTTTGCCTAATTTTGAACTCAAGAAGTATATTATTGAGTCTCTTTCCTTTATGCTTTGTATCTTTCATATTTTTATATTAAAATGTTTAGTTTGACAGGTTTAAATTGACAGCTAAAACATCTTTAGTTTTTTTTTGTTATAAGGCTTATGCAACTCACTGGAGAGAGATAATGAGAGGGAAAGTGAGAATTCACCCCTTTGGGGGATAGCTATGCCACATTCTATACTCCATTGTCCTCTCAGGATTTGGGGCATGCATGCGCATGTGCCTGGAATATTTTTCAAGCCATAGCTTCCAGGACTCAAACCATGTGGGATCCAGTGTCTTAACCACCACACCATCCACTGGCCCCTGACTGGAACACCTTAGTCCCAGATTATTGTTTGTGTATCATAATGAAATTAATAACCATATCCATCTTTCACTGAGCACCTTCTAGGGGGTGGGTATTTAGTAGTTCCATTAAGAACTGGAATATTATCCAGAGGTTGCTACAGGTATCAGACTAACATAGCTACTGCAGCTTTCTGGACAGTTTTTCTGTGTACTGTATCAGGGAATCTTATGTCACCAAGAAGCATAGGAATGAATTTGAAATGATGGGTGAAGCTGATGGCCACAAAGCTTTGCTAAATCAGAAAAGCTGTATACTTACCATCAAATTCAACAAGGCCTTTGCCAAGTGGAAACACAGCTTTTAGTAAGAAACAGGCACAAGTTCAAATGTGGCTCAGCTGCATTCCACTTGTTTGATCTTAGGAAACACAACTAGTCACAGCCCTCAGTTCTGGTCTCCTCCTCCAAAAAATTGGGTTAAAAATACCCTAGCTCCTTGGCTGCCATGAGTATTAAACAAGATCATAATCCTGGCACCTAGTACGTAGCAGCTCCTGTTTTAAATTGTAACTTCAGGACCCGAGTACACACCATAGCATTTTGTATACTTTCCTGAGAAAGACAGGGAGGAGATCTAGACCCATTTCTACTACTGTATGTGCTACCCTCAGTGCCTTCAAATTTAGTCAGCGGCCATCCCCCATAGCCTAGGGGTTTAGGAAGCCAGATCCCGAGGGGCCGGCTAGTTCAAAGCTCAACCCCGAAAGCTTGATAAAACACACCAGGCACACATGTGTGTGTGCCCCAAATCCCAACAGGATGGAGAATGGAGGAGGACTGCGGCATGACCAGGGCCCCCCATTGGAAGGTACTGTCTTCCTCACCATCTGTCTCTGTCTCTCTCTCATAAAGCAAATGTGTCTTCTGGCAAAAAAAATTGTTTTTAAAATTCAGTCAGGGTGACCAGCCATTCTAGTTTGCCCAGTACTAAGAGTTTTGCCAGGATGGAGAACTTTCAGTGCTAAAACCAGGATTGTCAGAGGGAAACCAAAACGAGTTGGTGACCCTAGTTGTCAGTAGCAGAGGGAGTGATGGGAGGAAGGAGGCTGACTCCAGTCAAAGTTTGATCTATTCCTACCAAGTAACCATGTTGGAGATGGGTGAGATACAAGCCCTTTCCCCCCCTTCCCCTCACTCTCCTAGCCTCTTCCTCTTCCAGCTGCTAAGCACACTCCCCACCACATGTCCCAAGTCGGGTACTCTGGCTTGATGGGTTTCATGTCCTTCTCTTAAATCTGTAGTACTAAGAATTCTGTCTTCCACTCAGGCCTCCTTGATTATTTGAAACTCTTAACTAAAGCCAAAACCTTTGAGTTTTGATTTCAAAAGAGTGGAAATTGCTGGCAGTCACCAGAAATAAGTTTCGCTTGGTCAGGGTTCAATGTTTTAAGAATAAATAGATATCCTTTTGCTCAAGCCAGTTCTTTTCTTTAACCAGCCAAAACAGTTCCCCCTTTTTAAGGGCACATGGGAAAAGATACCAACCACTTTCTTCTCAAGTCCAGTTTCTTTCCCTGGCTTCTTATAAGAAATTGATTTGATATTCCAACTAAAGAACCAAAGCTGGGGTTAAAAATCATCTTACTCCTTAGGCCAGCAGGTAGCATGGTGGTTAAGGGCACTGGATTCCCACATGGCCCACCACAGTTCAAGTCCCAGACCTAACAGCTTGCTTTCTCACTTTCTCTCTCTCACTTTGTCCCTCTCTAGTCAAATTAAAATAAATAAAGTTAAATAAAATAATTCTTAAAAAAAAAAAAAAGAAATATCCTACTCCTTACCTCAAGTTGGAAATAAAATGTTCATCTTCAGATGGCGTGAGTGCAAACAACAGAGGTGAGTTTATGTTGAATAAAGAAACATCCTCAGGACACTTAGAGAAGTAACTTCTAAACCAATTCATATTAAGAAATGTTTTCTTTTCACTTGGGCTATTCTTTTCCCTCTGGCAATTAGCTGATCAATTCTAAACTTAGGTTCAACCCAAAGTGAAACTCTCTTCCAAAGAACACTGCCTTGATATTCTGGAACATGAGGTCATAGCAGTGTTAACTGACAAATGTTTTTCTTTAAAGACAGGTACACGCCACCATAGACATATACCAATCTGAAGGAAAGCACTACTGGAAATATAGTATACATTTAACAAAAAAATTTAAAGGCAGGCCAGCTCCATAGCCTAATGGTAATGAAGTCAGATCCCATTTGACCAGTCATGGTTCAAATCTTGGCCCCAGAGGCTTGAAAAACATGACAGGTTGTGTATGTTTTCCCAAAATACGGATGGGGCAGAGAAATGGAGTAAGGAATTGCAGCATGACCACACCCCATGAGTGATCCTCTCTCTCTCACAAGTACATATAACCTTTGATAATGAAAAAGAAAAAAGGCTTATTTTTGGTGAAAAACTCCCTTTGAGACATCCTTTAGTATACACTTATCCACATAAGTGTCACTTGACCTTTCCTTAAAGACTTAGAGGGCTGTGGATTTCCCCATGCCATTGCTGAGAAGCAAGAGGGGCCTATCTTCATCGCCAAGACTGCTGGTCTAATTCACCAAGAACATAAGTTCTTGAACTAACCTGAAAGCAGGAACAGAGTGGTATTTCAGCCATGAATGTACATGTGCCTGGGTTGCTGCTTTTTTTTTTAATAGAGGTTTTTGCTATAGGGCGCATGCGCTCGCCAGACAGAGAGAGAGAGAGACAGAGAGATAGAAAGTGAGAAATCACCCCCCAGGGGGGATGGCCATGTCACAATCCTTTCTCCTCCATTCTCCTCTAGGGATCTTGGGCACGCAGGCGCACACACCCGACTTGAGTTTTAAGTCACCGGGTCCGGGACACGAACCACGTTAGACTACGTGGGAGTCCAGCGACATAGCTATTACACTAACTGCTGGTCCCTACCCAAAACTGTTTATATGACCTCAAAGTTAGGATTCATGCTCCTGCGGTTATCAAAATTGGTCTTTCCCCATATTAAACCATCAAAAATAGAAATGGTTTCTCCTCTGCTAGTCAATGCCTTACATTTGTTTTCCTCATGTGAAGATACATACCATAGACAATAAGAAAAAGACATTCTGACAAGAATAAATGAATAAATTTATAATAAGGTCAACACAATCTTTTCTTTTTAGAATAATCTATTTAATTTTCTTTAGTATTTTTTTTTTTTATTTGCTATTGGGTATGTGTACTCATCAGAGGGAGGTGGAGATAGGGTGGGGATAGAGGAGTAAGAAATCAAGCTGCGGGGACAGCAGGTGGCGTTAAGGGCGCTGGAGTCCCACATGACCAACTGCGGTTTGCATCCTGGACCTGGCGGCTTGCTTTCTCACTTTATTTCTCTTTCTCCCTCTCCTCTCTCTCACTCTGACACTCTCTGGTAAAATTAAAAAATAAATAAATAAATAAAGTTAAATAAAATAGTTCCAAAAAAAAAAAGAAAAATATACCAGGCGTGTGTGTATATGTATGCCTAAAATGAAACTGGAAGAGAAGGGACCGTAGTGTGGCCATCACCTCTGGTAGGAGCGGGGGGGGGGGGGAA